TTCTTTTGTCCCATGGACTCCCCCATTCCAAGATCAATCTTAGCCCCTTCTCAGCCTCTTTTTCAGCCTCTTCAAACTCCCCTTTGCTCAAATAAATTTGCCCCAACACCACATGAGGCTCACCTACAAAAGGGTTCTTGTCAATACTCATCACTAACTTCTCTTTAGCCCAATCTAAACCTCTCTTAGACCCTTGACAAACACCTTCCCAATACAATTCTCTTGCCATTTTTTGCTCTTCTGCATCCAAAACTCTTGTGCAATTGTCGAAAACCGGTGGAATAACAAGCTCAATCTCTTCGTCCCTCCCGGATACAACAACCCTTTCGCCATTACGCCTTCTTTGTTCAATAATTATCTCTTCTTCTCTTAATATGAGAGTATAAATTGCACCCATTCTTGACGCTGAATTCATCCATAGCCCGGGCTTTCCATCACCGGGCCATAGAGTTGTTTGCGAATTGTTTCCAGTGAATTCCAATCTCCCGTTAGAATTCTCAAACAACAAATCCTGAAAATTAAACAACTGATCACTGAAATCCGCCATTGTCATTAGTAGAAACACAGCTACTAATCTCCTCGAAACCAAAACATCTTCACCCGTCTTAATATGCTTCACAATTACACCATCAACAGGCAAAATCGACCCCAGTTTCTTCCTCCACGCTTCGTTTTCATTAAACAAACCCTTCTCCTTCGCATTACTCAACGACGCCATTGAAAGCTCGAGATGCTCAACAAGCTCTGAATCAGCATACCGAAACAACAAATCGTCGTGAATTAACGACTGACGAGGCACAATACAGAACAGATGAATCAATCTCTCAGCCGCTTCACCGACGTGACGACGTACAGTTTCCCGTCCGGTGGACGGATCGAATATAGCTAGATTCACATATGAATTTGAATAAGCTGAATGGAAAAGACCACAAAGACAAACGGAATTTGGGGCTTCCCAGATTTTGAGAATTTTGTAAATATCGATTAAGTGATCGAGAAAACTGCCGTGTTTATGCCAACATTCGCCGGCGCCGACGGAACGTAAAACGGCGATAAGGCTAGGGAGATCTTTGTCGATTGATTCGAATTCTCCGCGTAAAAAAGGACGGCATGATTCTAAAAGGGAATGGAGATTAGTAGGAGAAAGAGAACTCAGTGATGATGGCATTTTTTATTTTTTTTTGCTTGGTTGAGAAACAATGGCGGATGCAATTATGGAGGAAGAAGAAGAAGATAGGATTATGATGAGACGTATAAGAGTAGGAGTTGATCACTTGTTTGTTGTCACCTTTTGGGTTCGGGTTCGGTCGCCTTTATTAGGGAGCGTTTTACTCTTAACGTGAAATTATCTAGTACGATTTTAAATTCAACTGGGTTTTAATGTACAATTTTATGACACAATTTGAATTTAACTGAATTTCAATAAGGTACTCCCTTTGTACATTTTTATTTGTCTTGTTATTAGAGAATGTTAACGTGAAATTATTTAGCGCGTCTTCGAATTTAACTTGGTTTCAATAAGGTATTCTTTTCATTTTATTTGTCATGTTACGTTTTTTAAAAATTTAAATTATATTAATTTGATATTTTAAATGAAAAAGTTAAATATTCAAAAATAATATTAATATTAAAAGATTATAAATTTTTCGTTTTATATATTACATTTTTCAAATTGTATCATATCCTTTATGTATTGTCATATAACATATTCTTGTAAGATGTTATTATATTATCCAAAATATATATTTATTTATTTTTGTTAAACAAATTATTTTTATATATAAATTCAAAACGATATATTTATTAGTTTCGACGTATTCATCAGATTCATTTGGCCATTCTGAATAATATTATAAGCAGCTTTTCTAACAAAAGTAGCTCTTTTTTAATGTGTAATTTTATTTTTAAAAATTGTTTAAAGATAAAATTGTTTATCAATAGAATTGAAAAACTAAAATTTATTAAAATTTTAAAAAATTCAAAGTTATTTTCATACCAAAATAATACAAAATAATTTCAATTTATATTCATATTTCAACACAGTTTTATTTCTAAAGTACTATGTTCACTTGATTTTTCAAAACTTTTTTATGATTTTATGTTTAAATGTCTTAAACTATTTTCGATTATTATTGTTAAAGATAAAGATAAATAAAGATAAGGATAGAAGTGAGAGAGTTGAGTACAATAATATACAAATTGACAAGATCGAGGAGTACAATCAATTTTATTTGTTGTGTTTGTAATTCATAAAATTCTTCTAATTTTGAAAAATTAGGCGATTAAATAAATTTATATTATTAATTATTTATTATAATTATAATTTATTATAAATATCACTCAAAAATAATATTATACACTAATTATATGGGTTGAGTTTGAGATTGTATAATTTAGCCACATTTGTATGTGAATAATTCGTCATAATATACAAATACATATGTATAATATACAATTATCCAACCAATATACATATACAATTCACCCCTCTCTCACTCTCCGTCCTTTCTCGCTTGTCTTACTCCTCCCTCTCCAAAAATTCAAAGATCAGAGTGCTAGTGTTGTTGGCGACATTGGTTTCCCGGTTCCGCCTCTCTCCTCCCTCTCCCGATTTCGCTTGTCATATATACATATGCATATGTATAATATATAATTATCTAACTAATATACATTTACAATTCACCTTTCTCCCATTCTCTCGCTTGCCTCTCTCCTCCCTCTCCCAAACTCGCTCGCCTCTCTCCTTCCTCTTCCAATCTCGCTCGGCTCTCTCCTCCATCTCCCAATCTCGCTTGTCATATATACAAATACATATGTATAAATTACAATTATCTTAACCAATATAAATATACAATTCACCTCTCTCCCACTCTTTTCCTCTCTCGCTCGCCTCTCTCCTCTCTCTCTCCCAATCTCACTCGCCTCTATCCTCTCTCTCCCATTCTCGCTCGTCTCTCTCATCTCAATAACATGTAGTTACAAATTGTAATTATCAAACTATAACTATGGAGAATAAATAGGCTATTTTTGAGTATCTATATGTGAAATTTTCTGTTTTTTAATTTTAATACATCTTTTAAATAAAATTTTTTAATAATTATTTATTCTAGAGTCGATATTATAAAAAGAATGTCATAATTAACAGTAAAATTAGAATTGTTGATAAATAATTTTAAATTTTTTAACTTAAATTAGTAGAAATATACATCTATTTTCAATATAAAACAAGTACAAGTAAATAATATATAATATTTCAATTTTGAGTGTGTACAAAATAAACACTTAAATTTGTACAAAATTATAGCGTGATGTCTTACATCTTAATTTTGTGTTCTATGTGGCATCATATGTATATTATGTCACGTATGACATGTGTTTTGTTTAATTTTATATAAATTTAAGTATATACTTGTGTATATCTAAATTTAAAAAATATAATATTAATTAAAATAAAATTAAATAACATATTCATGTATTATATCCACTTTCTTCCAGTATTCCATATTTGCAATTTGTAGTATTTTGTCCCTATTTCTGTCTAATAAATTGTAAAAGAGGAAATTAGTTCATCTATCAAAAAAAATGATCAAAGTTTAATTAGGCATAATTTTAAATTTTTCTTTTTGTAGTAAATCATGATATTTGATAAATTAATCAAACACTTGGTTCTCTGATTACAAAATATTGAATCAATACAAAGAATCTCATTAAATTGAATCAAACCTAACAAAATACACTAATACGTCTTTTAATTATTACAAGTTTGATTCAGTAGAAATATTTTCTCTTCGAAAAAGTCATTTTAGCAAAAAAATTTAATTAGAATCTAATCAAAATAATAATTTAATATATCTCGCATTATATTATTTTATTTTTTTAAATATTTTTATTATTTTAACTTTAATAAAAAATCAATTTACCTTTTGCTTAATAGATTACCATTTCCACTTTCTCTTCCCAATAAATGTTGCATGTTATTTTCACCTAAATCAACAAGAAGTCACCAAATAATAGAAGTTATGTCATTTATCTCATCAAATATTAATATCAATCGTGATAGAATAATTATATTTTGATATCATTATTTTTAGGTATAAGTTTTAAATTTAAATTCTGTTAAAAACATCTTTTTATTAAAGAAGTGTAATCTAATATAAATCTTTATATTTAATCAATACTCAAAATAGAAAAAAAAATTAGAAAGAAAAAATCATCGATTATATTTGGGGAAGTTGTTGGTCGAGTATTTAATGATTCTATATAAACCTTCACTTAATAAGTCTTTTTTCTTCGTCTAAACGTACGATTCATTTCCATTTATTACATTAAATAAAAAATATCGAATAACTTACCTTCCAAAGTTTTTATATATATATATATATATATACATATATATATATATATATATGTTGAGATCAAAATAATCAAAATGCATTATGCGGAAGTTAATAGTGTAAACAACTTACGGTCTAATTTAAAATAAATTAAAATGATAAAAATAATATATTTTATTCTTGAGAGAAATATTGAAAACAATTCTAAATTTGATATAAATAATTAATTTTATTTTCGAACTATTGAAATTATTGCCAACCTTAAAAATATATATACTTGACTAACTAAATTTTAAATATATATTTGATCGATTTACCACATGACCTAGCAAATTATCTCAAACTCTAGTAGAAACATAAGACTCTTAATAAAAAGTTGAAAAAGTGTTGAAAATACATCTAAAATTGTCGAGAATTGAGAGATGTATTTCATTTATGTCACAAGATAAAAAATGCATTGAAGTTCAATTTATTAAATTAAAAAGTAGTTTTAAGACGGTGAATAATTCAATAACAAAAATAACTCTTATACCTTTTAGGGTCGTTCGATTGGAAACAAGTTATTCAACAGGAATATAAGACAACTTATCCATCACTATAATATAAATGATAGAATAACGTATTCCAAGTGTAAGAACCAAACAAAACATCAAAATTTAATCCAATTTCTTTTTTTCTTCTCATGACTATTTATTTTTTTCTCTCCCACCAAACGAGTCAATAGTAAAAACCTTAGGCTTATTTGGACTAATCCGACCAAGATGCGTTTTTCTTGGCTATATTGTCTGGATTTTTTAGTTAACATGTGCATTCTCACACATATATATAGCAATTTCTCACCAAAATTTACGGCCAAAATGCATGTAAAATATAGTAATCTATCAAATTTTAGAGACCATTTCTCACTTTGTTGAAGTTTTGGTAGTTGTCACTTTGTTTTTCTAATCAAGATCTCAACTTTTTTTCCCTTTTTTGTTCTTCTTTGACCTTCCCATGTCTTAGCAGTAGTTTCCCTTCTTGGGTTTATTAGCTTTTTCATTGTTTGTTAGTAATTTATAATTACTTGCTATGTTTATGTTTGTTTCTGATTCTGTTGTGTTAGCATAGCCTATATACTTGTGATATTGTTTTTGTTGAATCTTGATTTGGTGGGGTTGGATTTGAATGCTTGTTGACTTGTTTTTAGTAGTTGATTGTTTGATTTAAGTATCAAGATCTTATTTTTATTTGTGTAAAAGAAAGTTTTTGATGTTGGAAGGAAGGATTTAGGGGGTTTAATAGAGGAAACAAAATGGGGAACACTTGTGTAGGACCAAGTATATCTAAAAATGGAATCTTTCAATCAGTTTCAGCAGCAATGTGGCGATCCCGGTCACCGGATGATACTGCTTCCACTGTCACTAATGGTGAAAGTGGTAGGGTTGAAACACCAACTTCTGCTAAAGAAACTGAATCACCTTTGCCAGTTCAAGATAAGCCACCAGAACCAATGACAATGCCTAAGTTAGAAGAGAAAGAGGAGGAAAAACCGAAAAAGCCCAAAAAGCCGGCTGAAATGAAGAGGGTGTCTAGTGCTGGACTTAGGACTGATTCTGTGTTACAGAAGAAAACTGGGAATTTAAAGGAGTTTTTTAGTATAGGAAAGAAATTAGGACAAGGGCAATTTGGAACTACATTTCTTTGTACTGAAAAAGCAACAGGGAAACGATATGCTTGCAAATCGATTGCTAAGAGGAAGTTGTTAACTGATGATGATGTGGAAGATGTTAGAAGGGAAGTTCAGATAATGCATCACTTGGCAGGACATCCTCATGTTATATCGATAAAAGGGGCTTATGAGGATGCTGTAGCTGTTCACCTTGTTATGGAGTATTGTGCCGGGGGTGAGCTTTTCGATAGGATTATTCAACGAGGACACTATACAGAAAGAAAAGCAGCTGAGCTCACCCGGACTATTGTTGGAGTTGTAGAAGCTTGTCATTCTCTTGGTGTCATGCATCGTGATCTTAAGCCTGAGAATTTTCTTTTTGTTGATCAGAAGGAGGAGTCACTTCTCAAAACAATTGACTTTGGGTTATCAATATTCTTCAAACCAGGTAGTTTTGTATGATATGTACTTCCCTTCTTTTAAACTGCTTTGAGACACTTTGTCAATTAATGGGTACACAATTAGCTTGGAATCTAGTAGAAAGAGTAAGCATGAAAATTAAATGAGTTCCTCGTGATATTGTTGCTAAAAACAAGATATAAATTCTGTTTCTTTCGGTGAAATAGCGAAAGATGAGTTTAAATAGAGTAACATGAGGAGTGAGGATTCATGTAATCAACTCCAACTTGCTTGAGAATGAGGCGTACAAGTAGTATAAGAAGTTGTAGTTGCTACCGTTGTTTCTTTTAGTGTAGTACAAAAAGCATATCCAATAACAATGGTTTTAGAGAAAGAATTCTCCAATGGCCCACCATCCTCTACTCCAATCCTTTCCCTTTATTCTTTTTGTTGACAAGGGAACCCGCAGCTACTACCTTTCAGGTGCATATACAAGGTAAACCCAACTCCAGTGTAATAGCGCACAAACCGCCCAAGAGAAGTAAACAACAATAGGCAAGCCTCATGCGACCAGCTCAACCAAGAAAACATGCAGGGTACCTGAGACCCCCCTTTTGGATATCCAACCCTTTTCCTTCATAGGACGCATTGATAGAATAGATTGACATCGTCTTTTTCTGTTAAAGTGCCTCTTTGTATACGATGATTTTTCTGCACTATGAACAATTTGAAGTTATCAAGTGTTTCGGTTTGGGTGCCTTCAACATGTTGTGTCACTAATGCTGACTCATAATGATATTGGGATTTTAATCAGGTTCTACACGTAATTATACAAGCAGTCTATGAACTTGAGTTATATGCATTATCTTTTTAGTCACTGTGATTCGGATTGTGTTTTATCTTTGACTTCTTCATAAAACTTACTGGACAACTATTTGATCTATTTTAACATTTTCTTTCTTCTTTATTCTATGTTGTCCTTATTTATTCTTTTCCAAACTGCTTTTTAATTGATATTTTTCTCTTTTCAGGCGACAAATTTACTGATGTTGTTGGCAGTCCGTATTATGTTGCACCAGAAGTTCTCCGAAAACGTTATGGTCCTGAAGCTGATGTCTGGAGTGCTGGTGTAATTATCTACATCTTATTAAGTGGAGTACCTCCTTTCTGGGCTGGTAAGCATTCCCAAGTCATCAAAATTGGCATTTATTGGCTACTTTTAGGCTTTCGATCCCGTATTTGGCTCTTCTACATTTAGTTCACTAAAAGTTATCTACTTTTCCACTTCTAAGTTCTACTTACATTTTGAGAAACCTAAAATGTGCATTTGTTATCGGAAGAATTGATGTCTTGTAGTTCATATTTGCCGAGATTGACTTATTTTGGTACATAGACATTGCAGCACCTCTATCAGACATTTCTTTCACTATTACTCCCTCTGTCCCAAATTTTTTGGCACACTTTCTTTTAATTATGTCTCTAAAAAATGTCACCTTTCTATAATAAGAAAGAATTTAACTTCAAAAAAAGTTCTCTTTTACCCTTACTGAAATGACCTATAGCCACACAAATGTCCCATATTTATTTTAGACCAGAAATTTCAAAAGTTATCCTTTTTTTCTTATAGGAGGTCAGTGGTTTTTTTCTTCTCAAGGATGACGAAATCAATGTAAATCCAATTAGAATATTCTATCTTCAGTAATTAATTCATTAGATTCTTAAATAGGCAATGTTATTACTTCACTTAAGATCTCCTTCTGAATTGTTTTGGAATCGGATTCGAATCTGTGTTGTTCGGACACTTCAAAATCCCTGTCACACCCGGATTTATCCGACAAGATTTGGATGTGGGTTTGGTATCCATGCTTAATTTGGTCTTGGGTTGCTTTGACTACATCTATGAACAAGAAATATTGATTAATTGGGTATTTGGTTTGATATATATACACTTTGCTATTACACGAAATATCTTATGAACAAAATTTTGGCGTTTATAAAGAATTAAATGTTATGAAATTTTATTCAATAACTCTAATTACTCGAAATCCATACTTATACATGACATACTATACATTTAGTGGAGGGTCTCACTACCTGCATCCATACTCTCCAAATGCTAAAATTATGTGATGATGAATTGGCCTCTAGATCAGCACCTGAGTTCGTGCAACGTAGGTTCTGATTGTGTTCTGGTACTTAAAGTTACTTAGTTAATGTCAAGATTTTTTAAGGTGCGAGAACATATAAAGAAATGATTCAGAGATTTTCAGTTTGTTGAAATAATAGTGCATGTATGGAAAGGGGCATTGGAAAATTTTACAGGGCTAAGATGAATGGTGTGATGGCCGATGGAGGTTGAAATGGTCTTTTGGTTAATCCATTGGTAGAGAAGTGGATGATAATAGAAAGATGGCTGATGTAATGGTTGGTTTAAACAAGAAAACATGAAAAAGGCCTTTTCATTTTACTTGATTTATGTTTGTAAGGAGAAAATACCGTGTTGTACTGTATAAATAGTTGGTCAAACTTGGTATATTACTATGGATTATTCCGGCAGATTCCTTACATGTTTGCCTGTTCTCTCTATATTCAAAGAAAGTCGGTCAACTACTGAACATAAGGGAAAATCGAGTCATAATTATGTTCATGGACAGGAACATGGAAAGGCTTTCTGGAATCAAATACCGCCCTTCTAACCACATATCGTCTTTTTTTATCGTTTTCCAGAACTAATTTTTTCTATCATACAGAAAATGAACAAGGAATATTTGAACAAGTCCTGCACGGTGATCTTGACTTCACGACAGACCCGTGGCCAAGTATTTCAGAAGATGCAAAAGACTTGATGAGGAGAATGCTTATTCGAGATCCAAGGAAACGTTTAACTGCACATGAAGTTTTATGTAAGTAGCGTCTTCTTCTGATTTCTGGATTTTAACTTGTAAATAACAACTGAGCTAATGGGGTGAACTTCAACAATATTTGGTTCTTTGAAAGATTATCATCTTCTCAATGCAGGGGAAAGGTCTGCGTACACGCTACCTCTCCAGACACCACTTGTGGGATTACACTGAGTTTGTTGTTGGTTCCGATTATTTCATGTCCTGTTAACAAAACCATACTTTTCTTTTGAGATGAGAAACTTTGATAGTCACTGAGGGTGATATTATAACTTTTGTAGGCCATCCTTGGGTTCAAGTTGATGGTGTGGCGCCTGATAAGCCTCTGGATTCAGCAGTTCTGAGTAGAATGAAGCAATTTTCTGCAATGAACAAGCTCAAGAAAATGGCTTTGAGAGTGAGTCTATCATTCTGCAAGATAACGATTGACCAAAAAAAATCTATTTATGTTGAAACTAGTCTGCTAAATATTACGTTGTACGTGCTACAGGTCATTGCTGAAAGCCTATCTGAAGAAGAAATTGCTGGTCTTAAAGAAATGTTCAGGATGATAGACACGGACAATAGCGGTCAAATAACTTTTGAGGAGCTCAAAGATGGATTAAAAAGATTTGGCTCTAATCTGAAGGAGTCTGAGATCTATGATCTTATGCAAGCAGTAAGTATCATATTAGTCCTTGAAACATTTTTTGAAAAATCTATGATTTTCGAGCAGTATGTCTGAGATGGATGAATGTAGACACTTATTTCACTCTTTCACGCTAGTGTTCGTTATTAAAAGTACTGAAATTTTTTATTTTGAAGATACTTAAACTTACTGTAAAATGATCTCTCTTTTTCCTTTTATGTTAATGTTGTATTAATCCAACTGATATATAGGATAATTCTCTAGATTTCTTTTCTTTCTTATTAACCTCCCTCTTCCAGTAGGAGTACGTATGATCTATTCATTGTTCGGTGAAGACGGGAAATAATTAAGAGAAGAATCACTTATTTTATCCTTCTCATTGCAGTAATTATTTGTATTTTTAACTCTATCATCAGCTTGTGATCAAAAGCGTAGATTGGTTTAGCTTCATGCCATTGTTAGATCTTTCATTCAACCAACATCAATGATGACGGTGCACTCGAGTAACTCCTTACATTCTCCGAAATTGCAGGCTGATGTTGATAACAGTGGAACAATTGATTATGGTGAATTTATAGCTGCAACATTACACCTTAACAAAATTGAACGAGACGATCATCTTTTTGCTGCATTCTCTTACTTTGATAAAGATGGAAGTGGCTACATCACTGCAGACGAGCTTCAACATGCTTGTGAAGAATTTGGCATTGGAGATGTTCGAATGGAAGAAATGATCAGAGAAGCTGACCAGGACAATGTAAGTTCCTTTTTCTTAGCTTTGACGTCTTGATCCTTGTATTAGTTAACATTTGTCAAAGAACTAAAGACGTATTTCACTCAAACATGGAAGATATCCAACATGTGTTGCTTGTATTATGGTCTCAGTCATGGAAAATTTTCGTACTTTCTCAGGACGGACGTATTGATTACAATGAGTTTGTTGCTATGATGCAAAAGGGAAATCCAGTGCTTGGTGGTGGCAAGAAAGGTCTAGAGCAAAGTTTCAGCATTGGATTCAGAGAAGCACTAAAACTATAGGTCTTTGAAGAGTATCTTTTGTTCCTTTAGGGTCGTTTCGACGCGAGATACTGTTTCTCTATTAGTTTCTTCATTTGAATATTTGTGTTTTTAAAGAGTGTATAGTATTTAAACTAGTTTTGCTAAACAGATTGCTATTTTCCAGTTCAATTTTCAGTTCATTCCAAATTTTGCACAATTTTTCCCTTTAAGTTTTCAGTGATCCTATTAAGTAATTGTATAACATGGGATGTAACAACATTATACTGCAGTTTTTAATCATGCTGTTAATTGAAATCTTATGTTACTGGTATTATTTCATAAGGTTATAGTATTTATATTGTATCGTAGAGTATTGTTTTGATGAATACAATATTTAGATAGATTGTATCGAATCCCTCGTTATGTAATGTCATTTATCAATAATTGAAATGATAAATCTACGAAAAATATATTTATCATTGTATTCTATGTTCTTCAATTCTAGATGTCCACAAAATAGATACTTAAACTTGTTTGAAACTGAACAAGTATATGCATACATGGCATAACAAACATAGATTTCAATTAAAGTATGAATTGTCACGAATGACGCATGCGTCTAGTTATTCAACTTTATATGAGTTTCAACATCTAAGTTAGAGGTTAGAGATGGCACGTGGCACCGAGCTTAAAAATATGTTTATGTATTATGTCGAATGTAAAGAACTATTAAAACGAACATTGTATCTAGGGAAAAAGTATAAATATACCCAAACTATCGTAAATGGTATGCAAATACCCTCCATCATACCTTTGGGACGTTGGTGCCCCTGTCGTTCAAAAACTATAGTATATATACCCTTTACACTAACATACATACACGTGTCATAATCTTATCCACTGATCCGACATTTATCGACGGATAAGATTACGCGACGCGTTCCTATTTAGTCTTCCGTTAGAGTGAAGGGCACATATGCTTTAGTTTATGGACGGCAGGGGCACCAATGTCCCAAAAGTATGACGGAGGGTAGCTGCATACCATTTACGATAGTTCGGGGTATATTTGTCATTTTCCCTTAGTATCTAAAGTAACCACACAATATGATGTTGGGCTTCTATATGGGCCAAGTCTAAACCGGTTACACTTTCATAAGCCCATTACCCATTTTCACAGTCTTCTTCCTCAGCTTGGCTAGGGTTTTTTTAACCTGAAACTAAAACCCCCAAATCTCAGTGTAAGAAGGAAACCATTACAATGGCGTCGTTTATGCAGAAACTCGCGAGAACGAAGAACATTGGGAAAAGGTCTAAAAAAAAGTATTTGGAAGAAGCACTTTACAAAAATCTGTTCAAAGAAGGAAGCGAAGAGAATCATGTTAGGAAAAATCTGAATCAATTTTTGAAATCACACAAAAGTGCTTTCAAATGGGAAGTTGGAAAATCCATCAAAGTGTTGCGCCAACGCAAGCTTTACGCTCCAGCACTCAAGGTCTCTCATTTTCTCAGTTTTTTTTTTTTTTGAAATTGTATGGATTTAACTGTTAGAACTTTGCATTTCTGTATGTTTTCGATGATTCGACTTGAAAATACCAAACATTTCTGTATAATGTTCTTGGTTTTAAGTAGATTTGCATGATTTGGCCTCAGAGTAAGCTTGGGATTTTGTCATTTTGGGATTGTGTCTGTTAAACCCTGTTGTATATTGATCTTTGACCTGAAAATAAATTTGGAATTTGCTTCTCAAGGAAGGAGATCATATCCACTGATTTGCTTGTCATGGTCTCTCCGCCAAATTGGATGTTTTATATACATATTTTCTAGAATTGATTTAATGTTATCTGTGCTAGCACCAATACTCCAAAAGGCTGAATGGTGCACTTGGTTTGACAACTAAGTTATTTACCTAAACGAGTAGAATCAATTCCGACTTGATACTTCTTTGCATCTCTTCATGGTGCACCGATTTAATAGGAATCCTAAATCCGCCTCAAGCTTACCTTGATGCTGTTGGTCTCATGCATATTCTAGCTTAGCTTGATGTTAGAAATTCAAAGGGTGGTTCTTGCCATTTAGCAATATTCCCTTTTGATTAGATTAATCTTTGGCCGTTCTCCTGCATGCTTCCAGACATGTTGAATAACTTTTATGACAAAAGATTTCTCCTTGCTATGATTTTGACCGGCTTATTTTCCTTATTTAATTTAAAGAAAATTTTGAATCAGCAAGGGAAGGACTGCTGGATTTTTACTTAATTCTTATGTTAGTTTTTGGTGGAAGCTTTGTACAAAAAAAAGTGAATAGCTGCTTAAAGGATGCTACATTAATGCAGTGCCTGTAAACCACTATCTATGAAACCCAAAAGTGGGTTCATTTTATCTCTTAGATCTCTGTATGCCAACGTAGAGTTTGAAGTAGAACTGTTATGTACTTAGCACAATAAGGTGTGACTTGCAAGCTATTAATTTTTATGGTTCCTTGGTTTTCTTTTAGTGAAATGAAATGTTTTGATTTGCTATTTGCTATGTGCAGTTATCAGAAACAATGGAAAAAAGGGGCATGAACAGGACCATAAGTGATCAAGCTATACATATAGATATTGTTGCCAAGAGTAAAGGGATTGAAGCAGCAGAGAGCTATTTTTTGAATCTTCCAGAGACATCGAAAGATCTTCTTACTTATTGTGCCCTTTTGAACTGCTACTGCAAAGAATTAATGACTGAAAAAGCTGAGGCTTTGATGGAGAAAGTGAAAGAACTTAACTTAAGTTTAAGCTCCATGCCTTACAACAGCTTGATGACTCTTTACACAAAAACTGGGCACCCAGAAAAAATCCCAGCCATTATTCAAGAAATGAAGGCCAATGATGTTATGCCAGATTCTTATACCTACAACGTCTGGATGAGGGCTCTTTCTTCTATGAATGATATTTCTGGGGTTGAGAGGGTTGTTGATGAAATGAAGAGGGATGGCCGTGTTGCTGAAGATTGGACTACATATAGTAATTTGGCATCGATCTATGCAGATGCTGGCTTAACTGATAAAGCAGTGAAGGCACTCAAGGAATTGGAGAAGAAAAATGCATGCCGCAATATTACTGCATACCAGTTTCTGATCACACTGTATGGTCGTGTTGGAACTTTGCTTGAAGTATATCGTGTATGGCGTTCTTTGAGGCTTGCTTTTCCCAGAACAGCAAACATAAGCTATCTTAACATGATCCAAGTTTTAGTAAATTTGAATGACTTACCAGGTGCTGAGAAATGTTTCAAGGAATGGGAGTCTGGATGCCCAACTTATGACATACGTATAGCAAATGTTCTTATAGGAGCTTACACTAAACAAAGTTCCCTGGAGAAAGCTGAACAGCTCAAGGAACGGGCACGAAGGAGTGGAGCTAAGCCCAATGCTAAGACATGGGAGATCTTCATGGACTATTATCTGCAAAGCGGGGATATCAAATCAGCAATTGATTGTGTGGACAAAGCAGTTTCAATTGGAAGGGGTGATGGCAGCAAGTGGTTTCCATCATCTGCCATTGTAACAAAATTCATGAGTCATTTTAAACAACATAAAGATGTCGCTGGTGCAGAACACTTTGTGGAAATGTTGAAGAAGGCTAAGGATGAGTTGGGGGTTGACATATTTGAATCTTTATTACGAACTTATATAGCTTCTGAAAAAACAAGTCCTATCATGCGTCGGCGTATAAAAATGGAAAACATAGAGCTGACTGATGAAGGTAAAAGATTGCTGGATGCTGTTTCTGTGGAGTGAGATCATTTATAAAGTAATTGACATGCCTTGAGCTTTCAGAAACTGAATCGCAGAGATGTGAGTTTTCAGCATGTTGTTGCAATTGAGATTTTCTAGTTTACTACTCTTTTGAATGGTTTCTTGGATTGTTCATATCTGATTAGCACATGCATGGTTCAAAATTTCCTGCATCAGTGTAAACACGCTCTGGACACATATAGGATTCCATCTAGATAAAAAATAGTGAATAAACAGACGAGCTTTGTTGCTGCCCGAGGTGCTCGAGAGAATGCCCTAAACAACTCAATTCTGGTGTTTCTGGAGAGTTGAATTTGACGTTTAATGGATTTTGGTTTCCTACTGAAAGCTCTTTTTCTTTTTGGAAGAAATGTACTGTTTGAGTTTTTCGTAGATTACTACAATTTGTTCGCTAATATCTATACGTTTTTTCCATTTTTTTTTTAAATAGGTAACTTATCTACACTTCTTTTCCATTTGTATGTGAATTTCTGAGTTACTACTTAGTTTCCTACTGTTCGTGATGAACATCTAAATATCTGACTCTTATTTCTTTTTAGAGATCATCGATTCAGAACCTTCATTTGGCATATGAAAGTCTTTTTACACTTGTTCTTTATTTTCTTTTTAGTCTGGTTCGTTTGGTTTCTTTCAATTGTTTTTGCAGACCTGTTTGTGTAAATTAGATATTGCTACAGGTAGATTAACTCTTCCCTTACTTTCTTTCTTCTTTCACTGAGTGTTTTTTCACCTTTCTTGCATGCTTTCTCCCTGTTTCTATTCTTGCTTCCAATGTGTTGGACGCGTGTTCCCTTTTCAGTTAACTTTCCGAAAATCTTCTTCTCTTTTCCTTTTTGGGTACTCGAATAAGGTTAAATTGTTGCTTTCTGTGGTTCATCACTCCTCTTCCTATCTCCGCTTTGGTTAGTCTCCGCTGTTTTGCTTTTGTTTACGTATTGTGTATGTTTCTTTAGACTTCTATGGACTATGTCTGGGTTTTGTTACTCTATTTTCATTGCTAATTGTGATATGGTTAATCCTTTCATTCTTCTAGGACATCCTAACGTCGAAATCACTATACAAATCCTTTCACCTTCCCCTCTTCCATTGGAGTCCATTGCCATTCTCACACAACTACATTTTGATGTTTGCTAATGTTAGGTTTCTGTTTTAGCCAACTGGGTAGGGGTTCTCTGATTTATCTGCTGTGAACCAAACACAGCCTTCCTGCTTACAGTATTCATTTCTTTGGAATGAGATTTCTCATCAATGATCTTCTTTCAGTCAAGTTTCTGCCTATGAACTCTACTCTCTGATTTAGGTGAGATTTTGTAGTGTTTTGAGTTTGAATCAGACCAAAAGGGCTTTCTTAGAACACATTGTTATCACTTGTCAAGTCCCAAGCTTAACTGAAGCGAGGTTCAAAACATGTTAAAGCACATCACTTTACACAGACATACGTGATTTCGATTGATACGTAGTTATTGTTGTGTAACGGTCAACAATTTTGAAGACTGAAAAATTGTACAAATAATTTGCTAAGTGTAGTGTACTTTTGAGGCTAAGTACTGTACTAATCTAAAAAACTAATCACAATTAGACATAATAAGCTGAGTAATACTAAAGTCACAGTCACAGGCGCCAATAATTTGGTCCCCCAAACTGGCCCGCCAACTTTAACAACGTTCAAATAATCGAAAAAAAAAACACAACAAATCGGAGCAATAATAATAATAATTAATTATACTCACGCTCCTCATCATATTTTTATTTTAAAAGGAGCAGATTGAAAATATTTTTTTTGTCTTTACGAAGTGCGAATAAGATTGAAAATATTCATCTTTTTTTCAGATCTTTTATGCGATTACATTAGATATATTGTTATTGTATTTTGACATTTAAAAATTTGTATGACTTTCTTTGTTTTGTTTTTATTTTAAGAGATTCAAATTAATATGAGATATTATATGCATTTGATATAATTTAGTTTAAAACTAATTGAAAGTTTTTATTACTATATTTTTGCATGTGTTTTAAAATAAAGTCTTTTTATATGAAAATAATTAATTTTGTTTTGAATAAATAATTTAATATAACTATTTTTGGAAAATGAGAGGAATAATATTTTTGGTACTATTTTATCGAAACAATAATGGGGCATAGCATTTTGTGTTTGTCCAACAAAATAAAACCCTAATTTCCCTCTCTTCATTTCTCCTTCTCTCTCTTCAATTTTGGTACTTTGGTGCGGTGTTCTCTCTCTTCTCTGTTTTTCTCGAAGCTTTCAGTAAAATGTCGACGGCGGGTGATGGGACGGCGGCGTCAGCGTCGGCGGGAGCATATGAAGGAGGAGGAGGAGCCGGAGGGAAGTTTAGGAAGAGACCGTTACGACGGAACCAGACGACTCCGTATGATCGTCCACCGACGGCTCTCCGGAACCCTAGTTGGCTGACAAAGCTTGTGGTTGATCCGGCGTCAAAGCTCATAACTTCCGGTGCTCACCGCTTCTTTTCCTCCATATTCAGTAAACGCCTTCCTCCTCCTCCTCCTCCCACGCCATTACCTCCACCTCCACCTCCAGGTTTGTTTTCAGTTCTGTGACGTCTATTTATTGATAAAGTTGTGAGATTTATCATTTTGCTAAAGGAAATGATGTAATTTTGGTGTTGTTTTCGATGTGAGACGTAGTTATGCGATTTTTGAACTTGTGTAGTGTGAAAAATTGGATGTATTTTGGAGGAAAGAGTTCGTTTTGCTTTTGTTGGAGGAACAAAGGATGAACTTTATCTTGACGATTGGATCTGAGTGCATGTAGGTTGTTCAATGATAAATATATTAATGTGCAGGAGGGAAAAGAGTTTTTGTTCTTTCATTGCTGAAGTTTGGTGCTGTAAATTTGCTTTGTCTGATCCTGAAACTTGAGAAACCAGTAGTTGTGTTCATTTAGGTTTATAGTAGAGCATTTGCTTACTGATTTGGGCCGCTACTTGAGCTTTTATAGTTAACAAGATGGAGTGTTTACCATGTTTGACATTGTTATGAGGTTTGACATGTTAATATGCTATATTGTTCTACTTGCTACTTGAGCTTATATAGTTAGGAGGTGAAGTTCTTCTTTTTCCTTTTTTGGAATATCCCAGGGGCTCAAATTTAATGAACAGTGTGACATGTTTTTACCTGAACTTATATAGTCACTGAGAATGCATTGAACTGTTTTCTTAAAATTATCTGATTTTTGACTTTGTTGATATGATAGACATACTATCTTGGTTAATTTCCATTATCCCCACCCTTCTGCTCATTGTTATCAGCCGAGAAACCCACTGGCTATTTAGTTATTTTGGTTGTAAGTAGCAATAATTTCTGTTAGAATGCTACCCTTTGGTTGACACCAACTCACCAATTAGATTGGAATTAAGGGGCAGCTGATTGATTGGTATTATTGATAAGGAATTGATCTGCCAATGGTGTACTAGTAGCATTCTCTTTCTTTTCTGCTTTTAGCAATGGTTTTGTTGAGACATATTTTTTTTTTCTTGTTATAAACAGGACCAAGCCAAGAATCACAGAAACTGCCTCAGGAGTCACATCCCAATGTAAGTTTATTATACTTGAACTGTGTTCGCAATGGTATGATGCCTTTATAACCAAATCTTAGTTGATTATGTGATTATATGTCTTCCAAGACATTGCATCTTGTGTATTGTTTTTTGCTGCTAGAATCATAATCTTTTAAAGAATTGTATGTCTCACTTCAAATTCCTGGTGAAAGCTGATAACACACCATGCAAATCTTGTAGGAGGAATGTGCTGATTTACAAAATTTTGACTATGTGGATAACCTGTCTTCCACATAATCAAAATTTAGTAATATTGGTATTACTGTGTATGGTATAATGAAATTAGTTATTTTAGTTACAAGTTGATTACTGTAGTACTAAACTCATACATGTTAATTAGTATTTTTTTTGTAAATTATGCGTTTCACTTTTCATCTCTAGCCCCATGAATCTTGTCACACCTTGCACTTTTAGTTCTAAGAGCACTGCTATTAAGAAAATATTATCTACCTTAAATGTATATATATGGTTAATGCTGATAAAAAGTGGCCTCCATGTGGAATAATTCTTTCTCTCTATGAAGGAGTATGCTGGAGGGCTGGTGGTGGCAGGACAAGGAGGTGATAATGATGCATGCAGTTCTGGGGATGGCGCATTCTCAGAGCTTGAGCAGCTCTTGAAGCAGAAGACATTTACAAAGTAAGATTTGTGGTAATTGATTGGGTGCCTAAAAAAGAAACTTTATGATAATTCCTTACTGGAAAAATGTGATAACTGGTTGCTGTAGAAGCAGGCATGTGCATTACAAAGTAACAAAAAACCAGTTTGCTACTGCACGTTCATTGAATTTAGAGATTCTATCATTTCATCTGCGTCATGTACATCTACCTCCCCATTCCAAAAAACTAAAAGAAAATATTCTGAATAGAGCAGTGTTATCAAAGGCACGCTTTAAGAGCGCTTAAGCCCTGAAGCGAGGCCCAAAACTTGTTGAGCGCTTCGCCTCAATTTATTTGCGCTTTAGTGTGGTCATCAGGGTTCTAAGGCAAACTTTTCCTTGCCAATGATTATCTTAGCAAGAAATGTTGCTAAACAATTGATACTTCACTAATCATAATTTTTTTTCTTCAATTTCTTTGGTCATATATTTGTCATTCATGTTTATAATTATTAGTCTTGGCCTAAACATATATATTTCTATTTTTTTCTCCCTTTGCGCCTTTTTCATCAAAGTCGCACTTAAAGCCCCCACGGGCCATAGAGCCTTTTTGCGGTTTTCGCTTTTGATAACACTGGAATGGAGAAAATGCCCTCTTTCCATCATAACTTCTATAGTCCTCTTCCCACATCACCCCAATGGTCCTCGGCTCTCCCCTTCCCCTCCCCAAAAAAATTGTTACAACTTACAAGGATGATTTTTCACGTTTTCCTATTTTTCTTTTTTTTTCTTTTACCTCCATTGCAACAAATCTTTGGTAGCTCTTTGCATGCACCCCTGAAGTTCCAACAAGTTCAGTATTGTGTCCCATAGTTGTTTTGTCATTCCAGTTTATAAGTACACAACATGTATCCTCATGCTCTTCACAAAGCACACAATTGTCACATCTAATCATTCTTCTCGGTAAATTATGCTGTGTTAGACATCATTTGTTCTCATTAACGTTAAGACGTCTATATCTGAATAATTGGGATGTGGTTTAACACATCCCTGAACTATGATTCAAACCTTAAGTACATCCTTGTGTTATATTATAGTATACAAAAAACATCCGTAAACTAATTCAAAAGTTGCAACAATCATCCTTCTATTTAATTTCTGTCAAAAACTAACTGCCCCCACCTCAAATATCCCTATTCTATTCTCCCTTTCGTCTTCAACTATCTTTTCTTTCTGATAAAGAATAGTTATCCCTTTGAAACCAGCAGAATTAGGGCGTATTTTCGAAGGTAG